GCAAGAAAAGGATATCTAAAGAGGGAGAACCCAGCTTAGGCTTGAGGAAAAGGGACAAGAGTAAGGCCTTAGAGACCTGGTGGTGGAGAAGATGGACACATGGGGCCTGAGTGTGAAGTAAGAAAGTGAGGGCCAGTGTCGGGCACAGTGAATAAAGTGGCTCAACTGAAGTAAAAGATGCACAAGGGGACGTGTAAGATGGGAGCTGAGGCTGGGAGGTGATTCAGGGGAGATGGAGGGTTGGGGGTCTTGAGTGCCAGGCTATGCAGCGTGGGGCCTTTTCTTTTACACAGTGCGAGGTTACTGAAGCTTTGGCATATTGATCGCAATGTGTCAGGATGTTGAAGAGGAAGGTCCTGGGTCAATGGAGTGGTAGGAGTGGATGGAACTGTCATGGTGGGGCTGGAGAGGGGGTGGATGGAGGACTGCATGCTTGAGCGTCTCAGATAGGCCTGGGGATGTTGATCCTGGTTAGTGTTCTGCTCCCAGTTCTTGTTAGTGTAGATGTTTGGGTTTGCATCCTTTCCTAAGTGGGCCTCAGGGGGAACAGACTCAGGCTTGGTGTTCAGGGATGGCTTTGTAATGTGCCCCCGAGGATTCCCCCATTTTGCATCCTTCTCAGAAAGTGCATGCTCTCATCTGAGCCAATCCCACCCTGCCCCCCACCCTAGTGGGATCCAAACATGGGCCCCTTCTAGAGTATGCCCCCTTCAGCCCTTGACAGTGCAGAATCTGTTTGCAGCAATGCAAGCCTCAGTGCCCAACAATGAAGCCCAGGGCCCAGGGCAGCAGTGTGGGCAGGATATGCTGGGGGCCAGCCCCTTCTACCATATTTAGGCAAATGTGAGTATTTCTGAATCCTCCCACTGAACCCCTTTTAGCTTACTGACTCCTCTGTAGAGTGCAGATGGTGGAGGACAGGGGTAGTTTCTTCATTTCCAGAAATCCTGGGCAACTGAAATTCCCATGTAGAGAAGCATCTTTCCTTTTCTTCACACTTTGTAGCCAACCCAATATGCCATCCACGGAGAATAGTTGATTAAGGCAGAAGCATGGGCCTGACAAGATGTATTCCAGAGCCAAAAGGGACAGTATCCTTCCCTCTAAGGTGGATCAGTATCTCAGTAGGGGCAGGAAAGATAGAATTTGTTCTTTGCCACTATTGCGGAATAGGAGAGCTTCTAGAAAATAACAGCAATACCTGATATGGTGTTTTATGATTTCACACATCATACGAATTATCATACGTTGGTTCCTCAAGATCCTTGGCAATGATCCATCATATGAATTATCTTATTTTCCATTTTGTGCTTCTCAACCAGGTTGTGAGAAAGATGAGGAAAAGAGCATTATTGCTGCTTGTCATGTGAGGATTCATGTGCAGATAGTAAGAAAGGTAAGGCATTATTTTCAGTCTCAAGAACGGTAAAAGGCACAGGTGGGACTTGAACCCAGGACTCTTGGCTTCAAGTTCAGAGTTTTCTTTGTGCACCAGCTCCCCCTCAACAGGATTTGACTATCCTGCAGTAACCCTTGAGGAAGTTTAGTCCTTGGGAAGCTTGGCCTGCCAGTCTCTGAAAAAATATGATGGGGTTGGTGATGCATGTTGGGTTAAGGGGACAGAGGAGGGGTAAATGGAAGAAGCAGGTTGATGGTTGTTGTCTATCAGGTAACATAGTGTTTCTTTTCCCATTTTCTTTGGAATCAAGAAGCAACCAAGTCTGGGCTGAGCAGAGAACTAGAGAGGGTGCAGGAAGGATGGTAGCAGGAAAGGGGAACAAAGCACTGTCCAGGAGCTTATTGGAGACTGCCCTCATTCTCTCTCCAACAGGGTCAGACTGCGTAGATAGTGTGGAAGGTGCAGCTGGTCAATGCTTTATCAAAGGTGACCTCCTCACACACTCAGGGTTAGGGCCAGAGGATTTGTAGACCTCTCTGTGCTGGAATGGATGCCATACCTTGTACTTCCTCAGCAATGTAAAACATCCAGCAGTTACCTTCCAGCTGTCTACAACATGAGTGCATGTTCATCGGGCAAGAGGTCATAGCTAGGGCAACAATCCACACGAGTTGGGAAGGGCTCATTTCTCCTGTCAAACACTGCTGTTCTCATGTGGAATGCGTTGTGGCTTTTTGATCGAAATAATTACCATGGAAGATCCTAGGTGGCAGCAAAGCCCAGGTGAGCAGTCTGAGCCATGGAGGTAGCACAGGACACCCCAGCCGAGGAGAGTGCAGACCAACCATTTGGCATTTGGGGGCTGCCTGGGAGCAGCAATTCCTGTTGCAATCTAAGGTGTGTATCTTTGTCTTCATTAAGCTTCTTGATATTTTTGATGTCAGGAAATGATTTTCCGGTGGGTGCGGTGGCATCTCATGCAAAGATGTATTTTGTGAGTTAAATTAATTAAGTCTTGATCCCTCATCTTACCATTCCCAGATTTGGTGACCAAGTCCAAGTTCATCCTCTGTATTATTCTAGATTTTATAGACTCTGCATATATCTCCATTTAGTAATTTCTTTCTGAGAGAGAGAGAGAGAGAGAGAGAGAGCGCATGTGTGTCTGTGTGTGTCTGTTTGTGTGTGTGTGTGTGTCTGTGTGTGTGTGTGTTTCTGCCATGCCAGGCATCAGGGCTTCTTCTTGGGGCTGTGCCTTTCCTCCTGTTACATTGGTTCTTTAAGATCCTTGGCAATGATCCATGCTACAATATGGATGAACCTTAACAAATATTATGGTAAGTGGCTCACACCTGTAATCGCAGCACTTTGGGATGCTGAGAGGAAGATTGCTTAAGCCCAGGAGTTTGAGACCAGCATGGGCAATATGGCAAAATCCCATCACTACAAAAGATACAAAAATTGACTGGGCATGGTGGCATATGCCTGTAGTCCCAGCTACTTGGGAGCCCGAGGTGGGAGGATCACTTGAGCCTGGGAAGCTGAGGCTGTAGTGAGTTAGGATCGCACCAGTGCACTCCAACCTGGGTGACAGAATGAGACCCTGTTTCAAAAAAAAAAAAAAAAGGAAAATTATTTTCTAATTAAAAAAAAATTAGCCAGGTGTTGTGGTGTGCACCTGTAGTGCTAGCTACTTGGGAGGCTGAGGCAGGAGGATCACTTGAGCCCAGGAGTTTGGGGCTGCAGTGAGCTCTCATGATGCTACTGTACTGCAGCCTCACTGTCAGAGCAGGACCCTGTCTCTAAATAAAAGTTTTTAATAAAAACAAAGAAAATATTATAGTAAGTAAAAGAAGCTAGACATAAAGGATCACATATGGTATGATTCATTTAAATGAAATGTCCACAAGAGGCAAATCCATAGACTTGTAAAGTAGAATTACAGTGTCCAGGGAATGGAGGAAGGATTATTAAAATATTCTTAAATTGATATGGTCTCAAGGCATGTGGATCACAAGGTCAGGAGATTGATACCATCCTGGCCAACAGGGAGAAACCCTGTCTCTACTGAAAATGCAAAAAATTAGCTGGACCATGGTGGCACACACCTGTAATCCCAGCTATTCAGGAGGCTGAGGAAGGAGAATAGCTTGAACCCGGGAGGTGGAGGTTGCAGTGAGCTGAGATTGAACCACTGCACTCCAGCCTGGGTGACAGGGTGAGACTGTCCCAAAAAGAAAAAAATTGATTGTGTTGATGGACACAAAGCTTTGTGAATACACTAAAAGCTATTGAATTGTACACTTTAAATGGGTGGAGTATATGGTACTTGAATTATAGCTCAACAAAATTAAAAAAAGAAAAGATCCAGGCTGGTTTTGGGGCTTATGCTGGTAATCCCAGCACTTACTTTGGGAGGCCCAGACAGGTGGATCACCTGAAGTCGGGAGTTCGAGACCAGCCTGACCAACATGGTGAAACCCCGTTTCTAAAAAAGAAAAGAAAAGATCCTTGGCAATACAAACGTGGTGAGTTGTTTAGAGAGACTGTCAGTGTGCCAAGGCTACAGGAAGGTAGGGTAGGTCATGGGGACAGGCTTTGTGCAGGAGTGGCTGATATAGAATTCTTTATTATTATTTATTTATTTAGAGACGGAGTTTCACTATTGTTGCCCAGGCTGGAGTGCAATGGCATGATCTCAGCTCACTGCAACCTCTGCCTCCTGGGTTCAAGCAATTCTCCTGCCTCAGTCTCCAGAGTAGCTGGGATCTGGGCATGTACCACCATGCCCAGTTAATTTTATATTTTTAGTAGAGATGGGGTTTCTCCATGTCAGGCTGGTCTCAAACTCCCGACCTCAGGTGATTGCCTGCCTTGGCCTCCCAAAGTGCTGAAATTACATGCATGAATCACCACCCCCAGCCCACTGATACAGAATTCTGATTCATCTTAGATGGGCAGAGGTCACATCAGTCCCCAGGATTTCTGCAGTCCTCTTCCTTTCCCTTTCCTGGGTTATTCTTGTTTGTAGTCCAATCCATATTCTTAATCACTGGTAATTAAGTGGCCTCTACTATCTGGAGTCCCTCCTAGGTATTAGAGTCCTATTTGCCCTTGTCCCTCGAATCTATCAGTTTTCCTGGTGCGTGGGTTGCTTTCCAGACTAATGGCCCAGGACAAATATCCATGAAAAAAACTTTGCCATTCCTTAATTTTTCCTCTGTTTCTGTGATTTCCCTGAAATCAGGTTTCTTCACGTCTCTTTCAGACTGACAGCTGTGCAAGGGCAGGGAATCTTTTTTACCATCTCTGCAAACTTTCATCAATCACAGAGCCCACAACATAGTTGGCACTCCATATGTGTTTGCTAACATACACTTTCAATCCAACCATACATATATATCCTTTTAGGATAATTCTTTCTCTTTTCCTTCCCTTCCCCTCCCCTCCCCTCCTCTCTCATCCCTTCCCTTCCCTTCCTTTCCCTTCCCATTCTCCCTCCCTCTCTCTCCTCTGCCTTTTCCTTTCTTTCTGTCCCCTCCCTCCCTCCCTCCCTCCCTCCCTCCCTCCCTCCCTTCCTTCCTTCCTTCCTTCTCTCTTTCTCTCTCTCTCTTTTTTTGAAACAGGGTCTCACTGTGTCACCTAGGTTGGAGTGCAGTGGTGTGTGATCATGGCTCACTGAAGCCTCAGACTCCTGGGCTCAGGTGATTCTCCCACTTGAGCTTCAGAAGTAGCTGGGACAACAGGCGCATAGCACCATGCCTGGCTAATTTTTGTATTTTTTATAGAGACAGGGTTTCACCATGTTGCCTGGGCTAGTCTCAAACTCCTGACTTTAAGTCATCCTTCCACCTTGGCCTTTCATAGTGCTGGGATTACATGCATTAGCCACCATGCCCAGCCTAACTTCTATTATACAAAAGGAATATTTGTTCATTGTAAAAAAAAAAAAAAATACTGAAGGCCGGACATGGTGGCTCACACCTGTAATCCCAGCACTTCGGGAGGCTGAGGTGGGCTGATCATGTGAGGTCGGGAGTTCAAGACCGGCTTGACCAACACGGAGAAACCCCATCTCTACTAAAAACACAAAATTAGCTGGGCATGGTGGTTCATGCCTGTAATCCCAGTTACTTGGAAGGCAGAGGTAGGAGAATCACTTGAACACGGGAGGCGGAGGTTGCAGTAAGCAGAGATCGCACCATTGCACTCCAGCCTGGGCAATGAGCCTTCCCTACACATAATCTTGTTTGTCTTCTGGGGCACATGTGCAAGTTTCTCTACCTAGGAGTAGAATTACTGGGTCACAGTGTATGTGAATGTTCACCTTTACAAGGTCATGACAAATTATTTTCCAAAACCATTATATAAATTTACACTCCCACTAGCAATGTAAATTTGTTAAGTCTCCACATCCTCATCAACACTTGTTATTGTCATATTTTTGCTTCTTGAAAATATAGTGGATATAAATGGTATCTTGCTAGTGTCTTAATTTATATTTCCCTAATTACCAATGAAATCAAGCATCTTTTTGTATATTTACTAGCTATGTTTCCTTCCTCTGTAATGGTTTGGGTAACATGTTTGGCCTACCTTTCTATCGGATTGTTTATTTCTTTCTTACTTCACTGTAAGAATCAAAATATTAATTACATGAGTACTTAAGTTTACCCATCATCTGTGTCATAAATTCGTTCTTCCTGTTTGTTATTTACCTTTAACGTTATTTGAGGGGGTCTTTGAATATATAGAAATTCTTAATTTTTACATAGTTTCATTTATTAATATGTTCTTTTCTGTTTAGTACTTTTTGGGTCTTCTTTAGTAGGTTCTTTTCTAGTCTAAGGCTAAAAACAATGTTCTTCTATCTTTTGTTCTGAAAGTTTTTATTTTTACATGTAAGTTTTTTGTTCATCTGGAGTGGATGTTAGTGTCTCATATGAGGTTGGGAATCAATTTTACTTTTTCCCCTGTGGGCAAGCAGCAGTACCAGCTTCTTTTACTTCTGACACATCACTGCTCCACATCTGTGTGGGTCTGTTTCTTGGCTCTGTATTTTGTTCCATTGGTCATTTTTATGTATTTTTGTGCCAATATCATCTTGCCTTAATTATTCTAATTTTATAAGTCTCAATAGCTGCCAAGGCGTGCCTCTTCCCCTGACTTTCTTCTTCAGCAGTGTCTTATTGGCTACTCTAGGACCTTTGCTAATTTACATCTCTCCCCCAAAATGGCATCACAATGTCACTACAAGTTTATAACTTGCTTTAAAAATACTTAAAACCTAATAGTAGGAAGCACGGTGGCTCAGGCCTGTTGTCCTGGCACTTGAGGAGGTGAGGCTATGAGGCCAGCCTGGGAAACAAACAAACAAACAAACAAAAAAAAGTCGCAGCTACTTGGGAGGCTGAGGCAGGAGAATCCTTGAACCTAGGAGGTAGAGGTTGCAGTGAGCTCAGATCACACTACTGCACTACTGCCTGGCAGAGCGAGACTCCATCTCACAAAAACAAAAACAAACAAACGAAAGACCTAATAATAACAAATACTTAGCCGGGCATGCTGGCTCATGCCTGTAATCCCAGCACGTTGGGAGACTAAGGCAGGCAGATCATGGGTCAGAAGATTGAGACCATCCTGGCTTACATGGTGAAACCCTGTCACTCCTAAAAATACAAAAAATTAGCCAGGCATGGTGGCACACACCTGTAATCCCAGCTACTCAGGAGACTGAGGCAGGAGAATGGCTTGAACCCAGGAGGTGGAGTTTCCAGTGAGCAGAGATCGTGCCATTGCACTCTAGCCTAGGTGACAGAGGGAGACTTTCTCAAAAAAAAAAAAAAAAAAAGAAAAGAAAAAAAGGAAACAAAAACGTAAATAATGCTTTAAAACTTAATAATACATTTTGAATGTTTTGTCATTTACAAGTTACTATAAAATATAATTTATAATGGCTACATAATGTGTTATTGTTGAAAGATACCATAATTTGTTTATTTCATCCCCCATTTTTGGATATTTAAGTTGTTACCAAATTTTCATTATTGTAAAAAAAACTCTGTGGTGAATATTCTTGTGGCAAAATTTAACATATTTATGACTGCTTCCTCAGGATGGAACTACAATTCTGAATCTAAGAATGTACTCAATTTTAAGGTTGTTGATACACATCGCTAAATAATCTTTTAGAAAGTTCACATGACAGTGTAGGTCTCAGGACACCCTTGCTAACAGTGAACATTATTATTTTCAAAAATCTTGTCCATTTTGATAGGCAAATAATTGAAAGCCAAGCTAAACTTGGATTACATGTCTAACTGGCAGTCATCATGTTCTACGTTTAGATTTTTCTAGTGAGCAGCCACAAGATTTCACACACTGAGCACTCTCCTAAGTGTTATTATCCCCATTTGTTCTGTTAGAAGAATTGAGCCAGGCCCACCAGGCTTATGGGGAACGGGACTGCAGCGGTGACTGAGTTTGTTCTGCTGGGGTTTGCCCTGAGCAGGGAGGCAGAGCTGCTGTTCCTGGTGCTCCTGCTGCCCACGGTCCTGCTGACTCTTCTGGGGAACCTGCTCATCATCTCCACCATGCTGTCCTGCTCCTGCCTCCACACCCCCATGTACTTCTTCTTGTGCAACCTCTCCACTCTGGACATCCTTTTCACCTCAGTCATCTCTCCAAAAGTGTTGGCCAACTTAGGATCTGGGGATAAAACCATCTCCTTTGCCGGATGCATTACCCAGTGCTATTTCTACTTCTTCTTGGGCACAGTTGAGTTCCTTCTGCTAACGGTCATGTCCTATGACCGCTATGCCGCCATCTGCTGCCCCCTACAATACACCACCATCATGAGACCTCCTGCCTGCATTGGGACCATTGTGTTCTCTTCGGTGGGAGGCTTCCTTTTTGTGCTCTTTCCAACCATCCTCATCTCCCAGCTGCCCTTCTGTGGCTCCAACATCATTAACCACTTCTTCTGTGACAGTGGACCCTTGCTGGCCCTGGCCTGTGCAGACACCACTGCCATCGAGCTGATGGATTTTATGCTTTCTTCCGTGGTCATCCTGTGCTGCATAGTCCTTGTGGCCTATTCCTACATGTACATCATCTTGACAGTAGTGCGCATTCCTTCTGCAAGTGGAAGGAAGAAGGCCTTTAATACCTGTGCTTCCCACCTGACCATAGTCATCATTTCTAGTGGCACCACTGTGTTTGTCTATGTGACCCCCTCCCAAAAATAATATCTGGAAATCAACGAGGTCCCTTCAGTACTGAGCAGTGTGGTGACTCCATTCCTCAACCCTTTTATATATACACTGAGGAATGACAGAATGCAGGGAGTCCTCAGGGGTGTGTGGGTCAGGGTTCGAGGAGTTTTAGAAAAGACAATGAGGGCTGTGCTGAGGAGCAGTTTGTCCTCCAACAAAGACCACCAAGGAGGGGCTTGCTCTTCTCCACCACCTATCTATTGTGTAAAGCCCCAGTGTTAGAAAGAGAGGAGCTGCCTTCGTGAAAGAGAGGAGCTGTTTTCATGAAAGAGTAAGCTGGCTAAGGAATTCTGAGTAGTCTATAGTGGAAAGACTGCTGTGGAGACGGAGACTTGGACTCTGGCCTTGGTTCTAACTTTAATCTGTGACCACAGCTGTGTTACCAGCCATTCTGACCCTCAGTAGTCCCAGCTGAAGTCAACACGGCTGGACTTGATGATCTCTAAGTCCCACCCACACTGAATATTCTAAGAATGGAAGGGCCATGCAGCCCATTTCCTCCTAGAAGTCCTAACATGTTTGGCCCATTTCCTTATGGATCCCGACCACAACTGTTCCATCATCTTAACAGGAAGTCCTTCCTGGACTTCTCTGCATGGACCCTCTTTCTTTCCATCCTCTGCAAGATCTTTTTAGAAATCACCTTTATTATTCTCTAATACACTATCATATCCTATAATTCATTTTTTTCCTAGTGGGCATTTGCAATGATTGTGATGGGTATATATCATCATCTGTATTATTTAATAATATTGCTTTCTATAATAGAACATGTTCATAAAATCCAACATGTTCATGTCTTTATGTAAGACATGGCCTTGTTCCCCTAGCCACTAATGATTGATCCATGGTTGGATAATCTGACTGAAGGCATAACTCATCACCTGCAGAGACATATGCACACATGAGACTGGCCAATGACCTATGACCTGTGTGGCTTGGCTGGACCAGATGAGCTGTGCAAACAGATACCACTTTTTTGATAAATTGAAGCAAAAAACACAGACATTATTCCACACAAGTGTGATGCCTCCCCTGGAAGCAGAAATAGGCTTGGTGGCTGGAGTAGCCACTTTGGGTGCCAGGTGCAAGCTGATGAGTAATTAGAGGGAATCAGTCTGCCCATCAGAGAGAATGGAGTTGACGTATAGAGAAAAACAGAAGAGACAGATGAGAGCCCACTCAGCTGCAGAGGCACAGCCCAAAGAGTCCTCCTTGCTCATGACTTCCTAGGCCTGGAGCTGGTAAGAGTTTTGATTCCTGTTCCTGGATTTGATGTGTTTTGCCTGAATCTGTAAACCAAATCCCTTTTATTGAGCTCTCTTGAGAAGGTCTTAGATTCTTCTGACCAAAAAGCAGCTTGATTACAAAGTTTACTGTCTCTACACCAAACATAGCTTCTCCCCTTTTCTGGCTCCATCCAACTGGAAAGAATCTGTTTTTAACCACACTTCTAGTCCGAATTTTTGGTGCCCAAACACTGCTTGGGATGCTTAACTGACCCTCCTCTGGGCCTATGGTTCAGCTCAGTGCAAACCAGCTTTTCAATGTCATCAGAATCTTTGAGGCTTAATTTCCTGTCCTACTTGGCTGCTAGTGCTGCAGCATCCACTTTGCTAAGTTAACCCCTGTGCTCTACATGAAACTGGTCAGAAGGACACATGCATACCTAAGGAACTGCTGCAGAGTTCTGTGGAAATAAATGAAGACCACTGAAATGAACACAGAGGCCACTTACTCAGAACTGGCTATAACAGGGGGGTCAGCCACCATCACTTGCATTTGGCAGAGAATCAAAGGCAGGCAGGGGAGTGGAAAGCTTCATAGTAGGAAAAAAGGGGAAGGCCTGGGTATTCCTTGACTAGAGGGGTTTGGCATGGAGCAGCTAGAGGTGAGATAACTAGTTCCAGGACATCTTAGGGGATGGTTTGGGAAGCATATTTGGCTTTCTCTGGTCTTGAGTTAGAAAAAAGTGTAGAAGGAAAGGTGGGTTTCAAAAAACAGGAAAGTGGGCAGTCACAAGCAAGTCTGGCCATTTTGGTCCAAGTGCTTCAGAGGTTTGATTGTGATTTGGCTTCCCTTGAGGGTCCTTTGGAGTTTCTGAGTCAGTTCTGTTGTCATATATGGTCTGGCTCTTGTCCACGTTTTTTTTTTTTTTGAGACATTGTTTCACTCTGGTGGCCCAAGCTAGAGTGCAGTGGCATGATCTTGGCTCACCGCAACCTCTGCCTGCCCAGCTCAAGTGATTCTCCTGCCTCAGCCTCTGGAGTAGCTGGGACTACAGGCATGCGTCACCACACCCAGCTGATTTTCTATTTTTAGTAGAGACGAGGTTTCTCCTGTTGGTCAGGCTGGTCTCAAACTCCCGACCTCAGGTGATCCACTCGCCTCGCCCTCCCAAAGTGCTGGGATTACAGGCATAAGCCACTGCGCCCAGCCTGCAGCCTGTTGTCCACTTTCATATTCAGTCTCAGTTTTTGCAACCTTGAAATTTCATATAACATTTTCAAGTCTAAGCAGATGGACAGTCCTCCCAAAGTGGAAAACCAGATCCCATGAGAACAGACAATGAAAGGTGAGCTCAGGTAAATGGAGCGCTGTTGGGGGTTTTGCAGGCCAGGAATGGGAGCTGTAGAAGAAACTGAGGATGTCTTGCATGTGCCAAAGACCCTGCTTCTTTGAGTGGACCCCAAGCCCCAAGATTTAGATTCTTTAGCTAGTAGGGCTTGTGAGAACACCTTCTCCCTCTAGAGGAAGCCTACTGTTACTGTACATCTGGCAAAGCAGTTAGGCTATGAGGCCCAGTCTTCTATGGAGACTTCTATGAGTCTCTAGGGTCAGATTAGTGGAGAGGAAGAAGCTAGACCTCTGTGTTTCCCTCCGTAGGACTCTCAGATGGCCTCAGAACCCATGTTCTCTACCAGAAATGTTTCAGTTTCACTTAAAACATTTGGGGACTCATAGACTCTCTCGTAAGTCTTTCAAACCACTGACCAAAAGCTTCTAAGTTTGCATTTAAAACCAGCAACATATGTTCAAGTTTCCACTAGGGAACACTTAACCTAGCAGTTCCATTCTCAGTCCAATACTTCCTTCTTACAGGCCTTTTCATGCTTTGTGGGGTTGGTGTGTTTGTTAGTCTGTCTTCATTAGGGGTGGCAAATATCTGAGTCTCACAGCACCAAATATGTTAGCAGTGAAAGGCAACCGAGTTATCCGAGGTGAATCCATACGTATCTGCAGCAATCTCAATTCTTGCCTCCTCAGAAGAAAGAATTTGACTGAGGGGCATAAAGGAGGCAGAAAAAGAGACCATGGGAAGTTTCAGAGCAGGGGTGGAAGTTTATTTAAAAAGGCTTTAGAAGGGCCCGGTGCGGTGGCTCATGCCTATAATCCCAGCACTTTAGGAGGCCGAGGCGGGTGGATCACAAGGTCAAGAGATTGAGACCATCCTGGTCAACATGGTGAAACCCCGTCTCTACTAAAAATACAAAAAAATTAGCTGGGCATAATGGCACATGCCTGTAGTCCCAGCTACTCAGGAAGCTGAGGCAGGAGAATCGCTTGAATCCAGGAGGCGGAGGTTGCGGTGAGCCGAGATCGTGCCATTGCACTCCAGCCTGGGTAACAAGAGCGAAACTCCGTCTCAAAAAAAAAAAAAAAAAAAAAAAAAAAGGCTTTAGAACAGGAAAGAAAGGAAAGTACGCTTGGAAGACACCCAAGTGGGCCAAGGTCAAGGGCAGTGTATAACCTTGATCCTAGAACTATTTTATAGGCTGGTCCCTTTCTTATGATTCTTCCCTTAAGTGGGCTGCCTGCAAGTTCAGTGCCCTCCTTACCCTTGGGAAGTGAGCGTGCACAATGTGTTTAAGGACATTGTACGCATGCCCATCTGAGGCTTTCTTCCCTTTTCCGGTAGAGTGCCCTGGGAGGACATACTCCGCTCTTTTGTCTCTTACTGTGCATGCCCCGGAAGTTGCTTCTTCTTGGCATCTGCATTCAATTAATACTTTAGTGCAACAGGCAACAGGTGTGAACACTCAGGATAATGGCCTCTCCCTGGCTGCTAATTTATCACTTTTAGAGAGGCAATGTGACAAATGCCGAACCATCACCTGACATTCCTAGTGGGTTGGGGAGAGCCCTCTCCTATCCTGCTCATGCCTAACTACCTGTAACATCTACCCCAAGAGAGAGTAAATCCCTTTTAGTGCAAAGATTGCATGATATTAATTTGGGGATCTCCTACCCTTTCTCCCAGAAACATGTATCAGTGTTTCACACACCAGATATGCTCAATTAGTATGTACTAAATAAAGTGAAATATGTGCAGTTTAGCAAGAGTCCGTTTTGAAAATGTAAATTTTAGCTTGGATTTGGGTTGGGCTACTTCCACTAAATAAAGCAGTCTAGACCCTTAGAAAAAAGGAAGAAGCCTGCAGGCACTGGGAGGACACCCTGAGGGCCAATGAGCATCGGGGAAACGGTAATAGGTGGAGGGGGCAATGAGGGCAAAGTTCATCTGCTTGCACGCTTTGCCTTAGCTGCCTGTACTTGCTCCCACTTCTACACTCATTCTAGTTCCAAGACTAAGTGGGAGGTATAAACTTCTGCTGTAAACTCCTTAGAAATCAGAGCCTTACAGATGGCCAGTGGTCCAGTCCCAGAAAGTCTGGGGATTGGGGGAGCATGTCAAAGTGTCATAGACGTCTTTAGTCTGTGACATAATTTTTATTCTTTAATATATCTGTGGCTCCACAGCCTGCATCTGCCTGTGGCCTCCATTTACTCTCCCAGTAGCTCCAGAGAGTTTCTCCAGGATGCAACATGTAGAACCTAGGGAGTCAGGGGTGGCCTTGGCTTCTGAAGGTATACAAGGGAGTCTGGCACTCTGTAGCTGTTGGGAAGCATAATTTAAAAAATCTGGCTGGGCGCGGTGGCTCATGCCTATAATCCCAGCACTTTGGGAGGCTGAGGTGGGCAGATCATTAGGTCAGGAGTTCAAGACCAGCTAATATGGTGAAACTTTGTCTCTACTAAAAAATACAAAGTTAGCCAGGTGTGGTGGCACCTTCCTGTAGTCTCAGCTACTCGGGAGGTTGAAGCAGGAGAATCCCTGGAATCTGGGAGGTGGAGGTTGCAGTGAGCCAAGATTGTGCCACTGCACTCCAGCCTAGGCGACAGAGAGAGACTGTCTCAAAAAAAAAAAAAAAAAGAAAATCTATTCCCAGCCCAGAAAACTGCCCTACAATGGTAGGAAAGAAAGAAAGAAAATAGTTTTATTATTGAGTAAAGGTTAAACCAGAATATAATGCTCATCATAGGCATCTTCTAAAAAGATTGCAAAGACAGAAAGAAATTTCAGCCTTTTATAAAGGCAAACATATTAATAAAATTAATTGCATACATTTTCCTCAAGGTAAACAACAGCTAGTCCTCAAGAAAAAGGACTTGACAACCCCACTTGTCACACACAGTTCGTCCTCAGTTCACTTGGTAATTGGGGTGAATCATCTGTTCTAATTGACTTTATCCAAAGGAAAAATAAACTTTACATATCTTTATAACAGGAGGTAGTTTAGGAGCAAGATGTTCTGAAGTTAGGTTCCTCCCCTCCCACCAGGACTGGGAAATAGAGGCGCTATCTTCCTTGATGATTTCAAAGAGATATTTCCTAGGTCCTTAAGAAAGACATTCCTGGGTTGTAATGCTGTTCAGAGGATTAGTTAACATTTAAAAAGATTTATATATAGTTCAAAGAGACAGAGAAAGAACTCATACATTTTCTTTCCTTCCTTCCTTCCTTCCTTCCTTCCTTCCTTCCTTCCTTCCTTCCTTCCTTCCTTCCTTCTTTTCTTTCTTCTTTCTTTCTTTCTTTCTTCCCTTCCCTTCTCTTCTTCTTTCTTCCTTCCTTCCTTCCTTCCCTTCCCTTCCCTTCTCTTCTTCTTTCTTTCTTTCTTTTCTTCCTTTCTTCTTTCTTTCTTTCCTTCCCTTCCCTTCTCTTCTTCTTTCTTTCTGTCTTTTCTTGCTTTCTTTCTTTCTTTCTCTCTTTTTTCTTTCTTTCTTCAATCTTTCTTTCTTTCTTTCTTTCTCTTTCTTTCTTTCTTTCTCTCTCTCTCTCTCTCTCTCTTTCTTTCTTTCTTTCTTTCTTTCTTTCTTTCTTTCTTTCTTTCTTTCAAGGAGTTTCACTCTTGTTGCCCAGGCTGGAGTGCAGTGGTGCCATCTCGGCTCACTGCAACCTCTGTCTCCTGGGTTCAAGCGATCTCCTGCCTCAGCCTCCAGAGTAGCTGGGATTACAGGCGTGTGCCACTATGCCTGGCTAATTTTGTATTTTTAGTAGACAGGATTTCTCCATGTTGGTCAGGCTGGTCTCGAACTCCTGACCTCAGGTGATCTGCCTGCCTTGGCCTCTTAAAGTGCTGGGATTACAGGCATGAACTGCCATGCCTGGCAAGAACTCATAAATTTTTCTAAAGTAAATGTCTAAGGAAAGGGAAGAGGGATAATTTTTTTCCCTTATTTTCAACAGAGAGAAATAAGCTACTTATTTTTAATTTGCACTTGCCATTACACAGCCCTGAGGCTGGGAGGAGGGGCAGGACACATTCCGCCAAAGCTCTTTGCATCTGCTTGCTTTGCCAGTTTAGGTATATGTTTGTGCTGGACCCCTACAAAGCAAGGTGAGCAGGCCTGATTCCCATGTGAGGGGGCTCATGCCTGAAACTGACATCATGGGTATAAACCATGTAAAATTTCAGCCAATACAGAAGTGTATAAAGTAAAACATGAAAAGTCCTGCCAGCCAATTCCACTCTGTAGCAGTCAACACTGTTAGCTAAACATATTAGCATTTTGGGAGGCAGAGGTGGGCAGATGGATCACCCGAGGTCAGGAGTTTGAGACCAGCCTGGGCAACACAGCAAAACCCCATCTCTACTAAAATACAAAAAATTAGCCAGGTGTGGTGGTGTGTGCCTGTAGTCCCAGCTACTCGGGAGGCTGAGGCAGGAGAATTGCTTGAACCCAGGAGGCAGAGGTTGTAGTGCGCTGAGATTGTGTCATTGCATTCCAGCCTGGGCGACAGAGCGAGACTGTTTCAAAAAACCCCAAAAACCAACCAAAATCCCATATTTTATGCTTAGAATATACATATATATATTTATTCATATTCACACAAATAACTTTTATTTTATAAAACGGAATGCATTATATTGTCTGCAACTTGATTTTAAAAATCTTTCCATGTCAATCCTGTCAACAGAAAGAGTCAAATTGTAAAATAATTGAAGAGATTTATTCTGAGCCAAATGTGAGTGACCATGGCCTGTGACACAGCCCCAGGAGATCCTGATGACATGTGCCCAAGGCCGTCAGGCTACAGCTTGGTTTTATACATTTTAGGGAGACATAAAACATCAACCAATAGTAATAGTAATAGAAGAAATATATAACAACAATAAGATACCATTTTTTACATGCAAGTTGACAAATTTTAAAGATGGAGAATAGCTAGTAATGTCAATAATGAAGAAGATGGATATTTTTACGCGATGTTGGTGGGAGAGGAAATTGTTACCACATTTTTGGAGACAAAATAATTTCTGAAATTTAAAATGGTCATACACTATTAGCCATGAGTCCTAATAGCAGGAATTTATGCCAAAAAAATTTTAGCACCAGTAACAAAACAGAAGAAATGAGTGTCCACTGGTTATAAAAGTGACATCTAAAAATGAATTATGTAGTTTTATGGGTACTATAAACCAAAAATAAAATTCTAAGTGCCCCAACCGACCAAATGGACTCCTCCTCTTGACCAAGGGCATTCTAAAGGAAACTTGAAACACCAGTTCAGGCCTTGATGAGAATGGGTGGTCAGACATGCCTCATTAAACCTGCCTCCCTTTGGAATTCAGGCACAGCTGACCAGCATTAATATTACAACAGTCTTGTACCTTAAGACGGCACAGCTTCTTGGTAGCAATAAGATACCAACATGACAGATAGCAGGCCCTGGAAGAAACCAAAGTATTTTGTCCCAAAATATATTGCTTTGGCATATTTTGAAATTGCCCTGAGAAGCTGTCTCTTTAAGTTTGATAAGATATAGGTTCTGTTCTCTCTGAAGCCTGCTACCTGGAGACTTCATCTGCAAAATAAGAACCTTGGTCTCCTTAACCCATCTGAACCCAGACACTCCCTTTTATCAATTCCAGGGCTTTAGATAAACTCTCGGCCAATTGCCAATAAGAAAATATTTTTGTTTACATTTTAAAAAAGGAAAAGTGTTCTCAAAATTGAACCCAACACTCAAATCAGGTTATGGTGGAGCCATCGAGTCCTCCAGTCAATGCAGGGAACGAGACCTAGCTTTCACTAGCTTTTTGGGCAGGTTCATTCCTTTACTGCCACAAATTAAGCTTCTAGCCCACTAACACCTTCACGTTGGTTTAATGTTTTCACATTAATTGCCATTCCTTTACTAGTTTGGTTCATTTTTTTCTTTTCTCTTTTTTTTTTTTTTTTTTGAGACAGGGTCTCACAGTGTTGCCCAGGCTATGGGGCAGTGGCTATTCACAGCACAGGCACAATTGTAGAGCACTGCAGCCTCGAACTCCCAGGTTCAAGGAATCCTCCTGCTTCAGCCTCCCAAGTAGCTGGGACTGGAGGTGCACTCCACTTCACCATGCTGAGCATGGTTCTTTTTTCTTTTTCTGTAGATACAGGGTTTTACTCTGCTGCTCAGGCTGGAGTGCAGGGGCACTCCATAGCTTCATAGTTCACTGCAGCCTTGAACTTCTGGGCTCAAGCAATCCTCCTGCCTCGGCTTCCCAAGTAGCTAGGATACAGTCACATGCCACCATGCCTAGGAAATTTCAATTTTTCTTTTTTTTTTAAGATGTGGAGTTTTTCCGTATTACCCAGGCTGGTCTTAAACTCCTGGGCTCAAGTGATCCTCCTGCTTTGGTTGCCTAAAGTGCTGGGATTACAGGCATGAGCCACCACACTCGGCCGAGGCTCATTTTTCATGTGAAAGACTTGACATTCATCTCTGTCCACAGTTTGATCATATCAGAAAACAACCTGTGCAGCCACTTTCTGATTGTTGAAGCCTCTTCATTCTTCCTCAGCAGGATCCTTTGAGATACAATAAACTTCATGTTTGAGAATGCCCTGTCCCTTTTAAGCACTTGAATTTTCTTTGTAACATTCTGAAATCTATAAAAATTACATCTGACAATTTTACTTCAACATTCTAGTAAATGCAATTGTGAGTAGAGCAAGCATTTACTAGGTGCTCTGCTTCTGGCAGAAAGAGACTCAGGTTAGTGTCCTGATTCTTGGAGACCTCTGGCGCTACTGTAACTTGCTTTTCATGTTTGCAATCTGAGCTAAGAAAGCAGCATCTGTGTCCTCCAATTATCTTAGTGTCTGTTCCTGTTTGTTTCTCCTTTTATCCCCATCCAAACATTTCCATCTTCAGTTTTGTGGTTTCCTTTTTTGACATACACGCTTTTGTTGAGTCCCTTCGATTAGACTCACTTCCTCTCCTCCAGTCATGGGATCCACATGATTGACTTATTTATCATCTTGTCATAAAATTCAAGTTCCTCTCCCACTCTGGTCTTCTGCAATACAACCAGCACTCTCTAGACTTTATGGTTATAATAATATTAATTACAAATACAGGAAAAAAATCCTAAAATTGATATGTTTGGCAACAAAAAATAACATTCCCTCTTACCCCCAATCATAGACTATCAGCATCTTTTAATAAAATAACAATAGTTTAATTTTAAAAGGGTTAGAAAGGATATCATTTCAGAATTTAAAAATACTTTAAAAAGGCACTATTTTGTTATGAACCAGTAGTGTTTTATCATGGACCAGCTCCAGTCTGCAGATGTATGTAGGAAGCCACTGCTGTAATAGATGGTTTTGCAGTTACATTTGGACAATTTCCTTGAAAATTTTAGAAAGTAAATGATGCCCAGTTTTTGTGTTAGTTACCTCATAATTTCTAAGAGGCCCATACTTCTATCGTAAGTTGTGAGCCCTCTCAAAGATTCTGTTCCCAGACACCACACCTGTTGTCAGCCGGTCAGACTGGGGAGACGAAAATACCACCTGTAATGCCATGTCCTTCAGAATCCTCTTCAGCCACTAGCATGTCCCAAGTTTCTTCTGGTGGTGTATAATTTGATCTCATATTGCTATAGTTTGGATATGTGACTCTGCAAAATTTCATGTTAAAATTTGATCCCCGGTGTTAGACATGAGGCCTAATGGGAGGTATCTGGGTCATGGGGCGGATTCCTCATGAATGGCTTGGTGCTGTCTGTGTGCATATGAGTGAGTTCTTGCTGTAGCAGTGCCTGGGAGAGATTGTTAAAAACGAGCCTGGCACCTGACTTGTCTCTATTTTGCCCACGCTGTCTTGTCATGTGATCTCTGCACACTTCAGCTCCTCTTACCCTTCCAGCCTGAGTGGAAGCTTCCTGAGGCCCTCACCAGAAGCAGATGCTGATGCCATGCTTCTTGTACAGCCTGCAGAACTGAGAGGTTTCCTTTATAAATTACCCAGCCTCAGGGGAGGATCCAAGATGGCTGATTGCTAACATCTCGGCATTGCAGCTCTCAGTTAAAGCGCAGAGAACTAGAGGACGCCACACTTTCAGACAAATTCAGGTCGCTCACGGAGCAGAAGATCCCCAGTGGAGGAGTCACACGGGTCGCCAGCACGACTCTTGTGGGCACCTCGGCGCGGCAGCTCTCGGAGCAGAGTAAACAGGGCCGGCTCCCCTTCTGACCGAGGTTTGGAGTACCCACACGGGTCCCCAGCATGACTCCTGAGGCCGGCGTAGCGGCTGTGACGGCACCTCGGCGTGGCAGCTCTCGGTGCAGAGTAAAGGAGACTGGTTCCCCTTCTGACCGAGGTCTGGAGCCCCGGGAAGGCAGAGTCGCCTATTTCGGACACAAGAAGGAAGCCAGACAGGAGAATCCTGGGCAGAAAAGCACCATCAGTCTTAACGCCGCAGTTCTGGCCCTGGGAACTAACAACTTGGACATCCAATCAAGAAACCTAATCTGAAAGTTGGTAATTTCAAAGATGACAGGAGGATATATTTACAATGACGGGAAGAAACCAGCGTAAAAAGGCTGAGAATATTCAAGATCAGAACGCCTCTCCCTCTAAAGATGATCACAGTTCCACATCAACAATGGAACAAGGCTTGACGGAGAACGAGCGCATCCCAATAACAGAATCACTCTTCAAGGAATGGATAATAAGAAACTTCTGTGAGTTAAAAGAACATGTTGTAGCCCAACGTAAAGAAACTAAGAACTTTGAAAAAAGGTTTGATGAAATCCTGTTGAGAATAGACAACTTAGAGAGGAATATAAGTGAATTAATGGAACTGAAGAATACAATACAGGAACTCCGAGAAGTATGCACAGGTTTAAACACTTGAATTGTTCAAGCAGAAGAAAGGATATTAGAGGTCAAAGTCCAACTTAATTAAATAAAACAAGAAGACAAGATTAGAGAACAAAGGATAAAAAGGAATGAGCAAAGTCTCCAAGAAATGTGGGACTATGTGAAAAGACCAAATTTACGTTTGATAGGTGTACCTGAATGCGACGGAGAGAATGAATCCAAACTGGAAAATACCCTTCAGGATATTATTCAGGAAAATTTTCCTAAACTAGCAAAGCAGGTCAATATTCAACCCCAGGTAATACAGAGAACACCACAAAGATATTCCGCAAGAAGAGCAACCCCAAGGCACATAATCGTTAGATTCACCAGGGTTGAAACGAAGGAGAAAATACTAAGGGCAGCCAGAGAGAAAGGTCAGGTTACCCACAAAGGCAAGTCTATCAGACTTACAGCAGATCTCTCAGCATAAACTCTACAAGCCAGAAGAGAGTGGGGGCCAATATTCAACATCCTCAAAGAACAGAACCTTCAGCCCAGAATTTCATATCCAGCCAAACTAAGCTTCACAACTGAAGGAAAAATAAAATCTTTTATGAACAAGCAAGTACTCAGAGATTTTATTACCACCAGGCCTGCTTTACAAGAGCTTCTGAAAGAAGCATTACACACAGAAAGAAACAACCAGTATTAGCCTTTCTAAAAATATACCAAAAAGTAAAGAGCACCAACGAATGGATAAAACAGCCAGTCAACAGCAAATGGCAGTAACCCTAAATTTAAATTGACTAAATCCCCCAATCAAAAGACACAGCCAAAACCCAACGGCATGTTACATCCAGACCCATTTCACATGCAAGGATACACAAAGACCCAAAACAAAGGAATGGAGAAAGATTTACCAACCAAATGGAGAGCAAAAATAAATAATAAATAAATAAATAAAAAGCAGGAGTTGCAATTCTTGTATCGGATAAAATAGATTTTAAAGCAACAAAGATATAGTGGTAAAAGGATCAATGCAACAACAAGAGCTAACGATCCTAACACCCAGATACGAGACTTAGATTCAATGAGACAGAAAATTAATAAGGATATCAAGGACTCGAACTCAGATCCAGAACAAGTAAACTTAATAAATATTTATAGAGCTCTCCACTTCAAATACACAAAATATACATTCTTGTCAATACCACATCACACCTACTCATAGCTTTAAATGAAACATTGATTGGCCATTATTAATACCCATTTTTTTTCAGATAAAGCAATATTTCCGTTCACCCTCCCTCTTTCTCTTCCTCTTTCTCCCTCTCCTTTACTCATTTTTTTTCTTTCCTTCTCTCAAAAAAAAGAAAAAAATAAAATAAATAAATAAAATAAAAAAGAAATCAACTTGTAAACCTCTAGATCCAGGTCGGCAATGTCTCTCTCATTGCTTGATTTCCTTCCTTCCCTTCCCTCCCTCCCTCCCTCCCTCCTCCCTTCCTTCCTTCCTTCCTTCACCCCTTCCTTCCTCCCTCCCTTCCTCCTTCCCTCCCTTCCTGCCTTCCTCCCTTCCTCCTTCCCTCCCTTCCTGCCTTCCTCCCTTCCTCAAAAAAAAAAAAAAAAAAAAAATTACCCAGCCTCAGGTATTTCTTTATAGCAACACAAACAGACTAAGGCACGTTTATACCAACTGAAATATGGGGTTGCTGAATTATCACAAACTGTCTATCAGGCCTCAGAATACTCCAGGAAGAAGGAGCACCAACCACCAGTAAGGTGAGGTCTGCAGATCTCCTAGGCCTTTAGCAGAGTCACAAACCAAGGAAATGGGGTCCTCGTGGGGTGGGGGAATGGCCTCTGTGCACCTGCTGACATCTGTTAATCCTCCTTAGAATTCTTTTCAGGAATGAGGATTGTCTTTCCTCTTTAACCCTAGTGAAGACTGATACTTAGCAGGATGATGACAAAGATCTTTCTAGCATAACAATGCTGAACTTAAGCTATGAAAAACAGTCAATATCATAATAGCAAGAGAGGAGATGACTTATCCTGAGATATTTCAGCAGGATGGGATTGAGACAGATCCTCAGAATCTCAAGTGCTTGCTTCTGCAAGGTAGACCAGGATGCCGAGGAAGGACAGAAAAGGGAGGGAGACTGAGAGAAAGGACCCTCCAGATGACCTCATCCAAGGACTCTATGAATTGGAACGTCACAAAATGAGAAAAAATGTTTTGCACTATTCATTGGACATTGTGTTTGTTATCAGTTAAGAGTAGGAGTCTTTTCTCTCTGTCCATGAACTGTACCTGCAGGGTCATGGATCAGCGTGGAAAGAGGTATCATCAAGATTTCTCCACCCTTTTGGCAGTGACACCAGACTACATTTTTAGCACACATATTTTGGTGTCTATACTGAGGAGGAAGTTAAATTTAGTACATTTCCTGCTAGTCGCTGAACACTGCAGTACCTCCTGGGTCTTAAGTTGAGTCACAATCTCTAATGTCTATCTGTGGAATCTCTCCTTTTAAATTGCTAGGCATTTGAGGAGCCTGGATTTATGGTTTGAACTGTCACCATAAATCCTTAGTGCCCACCCAGAAACCGTGCTGAATGGGTGGAGTGTTCATAGTGATTTCTCAGTCCCACTTAGTGGAACGTTAGGAATGTTCCTGTCAGACGGGGTGTGTGTCTGTGTGCTGGCTTGTGTCCACGTGTGGAGACCATGTGGTATAAACAGGGTACTCTGCATGACCTTTCTCAGACTCTTTTTGTTTTTTTTTTCCTTTTTGTGGAGAATGGGGTATTGCCCAGGCAGTTCTCGAACTCCTGGGCTCAAGCTCTCCCCCCGCCTCTGCCTCCCTAAGAGCTGGGATTACAGGCGTGAGCTGCCTGGCTCTCAGACTCTTCTTGCATCTGCTCCTGAAGAATGTGTTTGCCTTGTGTTGACTTGGAAAAATCAGATCAGCATGTTGTGCTACCTCCAAAAGACAAGCGATTCTGGAGTGAGCAGGATGAACTCCCAGGGGCGCAGGCCCTACTCTACCCAGCCTTCTTGGTCAAGTATCAGAGACAGTCCTGTGGACCAGTGCCTGCAGACACAGCACACTAGAGTCTCCTAGGAATGTGTTTAAATGCAGATTTCATGGTCAGACTCCATTCAGGTTAACCAGATTAAACTCTGGGAAATATAGCTCAGGAATCTATATTAAAAAAAAAATGCCCCCAGGTTGTTTTGTGACTGGGTTTGGTAACCACTGCCTTACTCGGCCCATTCTTCAAGAGGGCGGTAGCATCATGCAGTGTTGATACTAAGTCTTTTAGATTTTACCTCCTAAGCATCTCTTGCATCTTTCTTGTCTCTGTGTCTATTAACCCCTAGCCAAGTCCAGATTAGCAGCATCTCTGGTCTGGACTAATGTGGCAGCCTCAAATTTCTCTTGTAGAAAGGGACTCATTCCTGTCTCGTCTGAACTCCACAGAGCAACCAGAGTGGCTGTTTCAATGTCAGGGATTCTGTCACACTCCCTACCACACCCTGACCCTCATCATTTCCTTCCATTGCTTTTTAGAATGAACACAACATTCTTCACGTGGCCAGAGGGTCTGCTGAGTTGGTCCCTACTGATCACCAGACTTCTCTCCCAGCCACCTGCCTGTGCAGCCGCCCGTCTCCAGACATTCCTTCCCCTTTCCCTGGTCCTGCCTTCAAGCACAGCTGTCATCACTTCTGCAGGAGGTTTCCCCAATTCTCATGGGTAGCACTTGAGCAATTTTCCACCGATTTACATAATACTTTGACTAGGTGCATCTCTCTGAGCAAACTGGAATTTCTCACAAAGGCAGAGACTATGTTTCTTCACTCTTGTAGCCCTAGTGGTTGGTATGTAGTAAGCTCTAAATACCTGTCTTCTCCCTATTACAATCCTCAAAGAAGACACAGGGTCCTGAGATGGATCAGAACTTTGTAATTACATTCAGGAGTTCTGTCTCTTCATTCATCATGACATGTCTAGTATCATGTGCTATTTTTTAAAATTTATTTTTGATAGTTTTTAAATCAGCCTATGCACAGGAAATATGTGCCACATAGAACTGCAGGATTCTGGGTCCAGCCGGACTCAGCTAGCTCAGAACAAGCACTATTAGTAATGATTTGAACACTTCTGAACACTTGGTATATCTCACTTTCCATGGCTTGAGGAAAAGAAATATTTGTTGAACATGAACTATGTGCTAGATGTGCCCTTTGCCTTTATGTTGCTTATGGTCTGAGGAGGAAGGAGACATTAAACAAGTAACCACAAGTTTATAAGTTTTACAAAAGGGGCAGATAATATGCCACAGAGATGCAGAACAGAGGGGTCCAAGTCTAGTACAGGGAATTAGGGGACGGCGTCTCTGCATAGGGAATATTTAAGCTGAAATCCAGATGAGTGGCAGTTAGAACAGGATGTAGGGAGCAGTACATGTGTGGCCCCCCCTGAACTTAGGAAGATAGGGTGTTTAATGGGCAGCAGGGAATACTAAGCACTGTCTCTCTCCTGTGAATTGGAACTTGGTCCATCCACACTCTGGATCTCAACTCCTTATCTGTCATGAGTGTTTGGGTGACAGGGCCTGTGCTGACCTGGACTCTGGGCTGGGTCTTGAGGGCAAATGCCACACTAAAAGGAGTTGTGGGCAGGCAGGTAACTCCCAGGACTCCCTTCTCTCAGGCATCACACAGTCCGTTGTGAATTCAGCACCACCAGCACTCCTGTCAGAGCAATTTTAAACATTATCACTACCGGCAGTTTTTACTCATTTCTTTATTAATATAGAAAAGGAGCCCAGGGCAGCTGGACCAGTAGTACAAAGCACCAGGAGTTAATACCATTCTGGTGAAAGGGTTGATTTTACTAAAGTGAAGGAGCAGGCAGGAGCTGCAAGGTTCCGAGGCCAGGCCCAGCCTACTGCCCAGAACCCCTGAAATAGCTCCCTGGGAGAGGGCTGACGGTGGGTCGGGGTGGACTGAGCTGGAAACCATGGAGACAGATGGCAGGGATAGAGGGTCATGCAGTGGGAACCACCCTGTGGCTGATAAGGACAGGGAACTGGTAGCTGGAGGCTCCCCACTGGACCATGGGCAGGGGCTTGCAGGTAGCCTCGGCTCTGGGGGCAGGTAGAGATACTGCAGAGACTGAAAGGCATGGAGAGCCCAGCCATGGCTCTGGTGCTGAAGGGCCCTTCCCCTTTTCTCCACCAGGAGCCGCCTTTGCTCTATATTACATGTGGGGCTTTAGGGCCCAAGGCACAGGGGAGGCTCAGAGGCCTCTAGTTGGGAGGAAGATGGGGCAAGGAAGGAAGCACTTGAGTGTCCCTAGTTTAGGCAGCCAGGGCTGACACAGGCAGGACAACAGCACCCCGGCAAAGTGAGTCTAGAAAGTGGGGCAGGGACTGGCTTATCCTTGGCTGGTGACCAGGACCAGCCCCATGGCAATGGTGCCTGTCTCAAGCCTTAGCAAATCAAGTGTGCAACGGGGTGTTGGCAAACCTGGGCTCTCGCCTTATCTCTGTCAGAACTTGTATCACACAGAGCGCTATATCACCATGGTCCAGCCATGTCCCGCCTTGGCCTCTTTCCTCTTCTGTCAATGAGGGCTTTGGATAAGGAGCTTCTAGGTCATGGAAAGGGCTCTGCAGGTGAAGGGAACTCTAGGACCTGCTCTTGGCAGTTAACCAGACCCTGGATGGAACTGGCATGGGATGGGGGTGAAATGAGGGATGGAAGAGGAAGGTATTCTTGCACAGAACCTATCCCCACAAACACTGCAGAGCAAGGAATGGCCATTGGAAGCCCTTTTTGCCCAGAGGAAGAAAGGCCGCAGAGAGAGCGAATGCGGCTCAGTGCAATCCCTTCCCATCCTCCACCGTCTGGGTAACACTTGGCAAGGAGTGGATGGGGTGGCATTGGCAACCCTTTATGTTCTTCCCCAGGGTGGGGCGCTCAAGACCTCTTGTGGCTTCTGCCTTCAGCCCTCAGCGTGGGGTCAGCAGTGTTCTTTTCACTGTGGTCCTGTTCTGGGAACAGCCCAAGACTCTGCCTGGCTGGCACATGTTAGTTGGTGAGGAAAGGACAGAGTAGGTGAGTAAGCAGACAGGGAGGCAGGAGCGACTCTGGCTTTCTCCTCTTCCTCTTCAGAGAGTGGCTCAGTCAACTGAGTCGCAGATCTCCTCCACCACAGCATTGAAGATGTGTGGCTGGTCAGCATAGACGTGGTGAGATGCACCCTCAATCTCCTGTGGAGAGAGGACCCGCAGGGGCGGCATGGCCCTTTATTCCTGGTGCTGGGAAGCTGTCATACTATTTCCTTTCCCCTTAAGACTTGCTTGCCCGACACCCATGAGCTCTTATCAGAAATAATACTCCACGTTTCTCCCGTGGATCCTGGTATTTTCCTTTGACAGCCAATGAATCCCAATATCCCACTCGACTTACGTGATGAACATTCACTGTATCTTTCCTTCCATGTTAGCCCCACCACTGATCTGCTTATTTAATCCAAAGGTCCAGTAAACCTGGCCCATGGTTGGCACCCAGCCTCATTCAGCACATTCATTGGCACATGGCAGAGAGGGGTTAGAAAAAAGGGAGGAGGTATGGTGGGAGCCTCTACTATTCGCTCCACTGCCCATGGCTCTGGCTTTGGGGTAGGAACTACATGGGGGCTGGAGCAGCAGCAGGTGCCTGGCTTCTAGACTAGAACTAGCCTTTTAGCTTAACTGGGCTAAAAGTAGGGACACCTCTAATTAAGATATTACAAAGAGAGTTTCCAAACTTCTCAAATCTACTGCCCTATCTCAGTCTGTCCATTCCTCTTTGTCCTCAATCACCTGTCCCTACCTCAAGGCTGAGAGCTGATTGACTCTCAGTCAATCAACATATGCTGGCATTTGATTCACGGCCTCATTTCCACTCCTTGGTGGTGGAACATACCAAGTCTCGGACATAGGAATCCGGCCGCTGCATCTTCACCTTTTTTCCCGTACTGGTATCTATCCAGGTGTTGGCCCCATAGATCATGGTGATGGGCACATCTTTTCGAATCAAGTGAATTCGCTCCAGCATGGGGCGCCGGGCCCAGCCAAAGGACTCCATCATGGCTTTGAATGCCGTCTCACCGCTGTCAGAAGCAAAACAGCAGTAAACTTCAATAAACAGCAGAATATGTCAACTTGTTGGTCTCTTCAGAGGCTGAGGCAGAGTCTTAGTCATCTTTGTATTCCTGTCAGAGCCCTACACTGGGCTCATTAAATATTGGTAAGATAAGGAGATGACCAAAATTCCAGGGGTCTCTTATCACAGAAGAGTTTGGAGGAACACTTGTGAAAAAGCCCATGGCAGTACAAACTGTCCGAGAATGAAATGGATTATTTATTCAACAAATATTATCTGTCATGGCCTGGGCTGGGAAAGGGGACGTATGAACAAGAAAGACAGGGTGCTGCCCTTCCTAGAGCTCACACACTTTAGCTCATGCTTTAGAGAGGTAGGCATTAAGTAACTAATCATATGGTTAATCATTATTTAACCTAAAATTTCCTGGGCCAGGTGTGGTGGCTCACGCCTCTAATCCCAGCACTTTGGGAGGCTGAGGATGGTGGATCATTTGTGGTCAGGAGTTCAAGACCAGCCTGGCCAACATGGTGAGACCCTGTCTCTACTAAAAATACAAAAATTAGGTCGGTGTGGTGGTGCACTGTAATCCAAAAATTAGGTCGGTGTGGTGGTACCTGTAATCCCAGCTACTCAGGAGGCTGAGGCAGGAGAATCGCTGAGCCTGGGAGATGGAGGTTGCAGTGAGCCAAGATCGCACCACTGCACTTGAGCCTGGGCAACACAGTGAGCCTCTGTCTCAAAAAAAAAAAGAAACTTAAAATTTCCCAAGAAGGATGAAAAGGTGGTTGAGTGCTATAAAAACAAAGCCTGGGATTTAGTCTGTTGGAGGTTGAGGGAGAGTCAGGAGTTCATCTGAGGTGAACTTAAGAGTGAGTTCTATGGTAGTAAAAAGGGCTTCCTGAGAAGACTCTGGAATTTAAAAATCAGTCTTCCGAGGACTTGGGGAGCAGCAGTTTCTGTTAAGCAAGAAGTAACAAATGCCAATGTAATCTACTTCACTCCCTGGCCATTTGCTCAGGTAGAACAAACTGAGGCCGTATCATGAGGTGTCCATGAGGCTGGAACAGAGCCAGCTTTCTGGGCTAGTCTGTGGCTTCTGTTGGAGACAGGGCAAGTTGGGGACACTGCTGCCTCTTAGGCTTGGCCTTTTTAGTTCAATTAGACCTGCATTCTCTTTTACATGTACAGATGAACAGGAACCTGAGTTTTGTCCAGGCCACCAGAAATAGTTGGTTTTTCCTTAAGATATTGCAGCATAGTAGAAAAAGCATGGAATTTGGAGTCAAATGAATTCAGATCCTCAGCTGTGTTTTCTTACCAAGTCATGCAACCAGAATATACTTCAATTTCCTCATCTATAAATGTACATGTATTTCTGTTTTCCTAATGATGTCCTAGTGAAGTGGGTATAATACTCTACCTATGCTAATACTCTACTAATGCACTTCACTAGGACATCATTAGGAAAATAAAAATATGTACAAAGCACCTAAGTTGAGGTGACGTGAAGTAGATACCCCCAAACATGTTGGTCAAATGTCATGTTTTCCAAGGAAATGGTAAGAGTTACCATGAGCTTGTCAGGGTTACAAAGTCAAAAAACTCAGGGAGTTACAAAATTGAGTGATGGTGTTTGGGAGTGAGGGAGCTGGTTGTCACTGATGTCACCTTTGCTTCCTCTGGGATGTGAATGATATACCCTGGGGTTTAGGTTGGGAGGACATTGTACAGAACTAGGTCTGGGATGGGGAAGGTTCTGGAGAAAAGGCTAGGGTTGGGCCTGTGGGGCCTCAGATGCATATGAGATGGTCATTGAGCCCAAGGGGGCTGAGAAAAGGGCCAAGGGCAGGAAGACAGGGGAATCTCATTTGACTGCTGAACTGAGAGCTTCTATACTACTGTTTAATCAAGGTTCTTCAATTAGCTGAGCTCATGTGGAATGCTGGATAGACAGCTCACATGTTGCCCAAAAGCTGTCTGGGTTTGAGGTTAATGTTCAGACTGTACTGCTGGAATGCAAATCTCTGCCTTTCTCATGGCTTTGGGCTCACAAGTGACTTGGACAGCCCTAGAAAGGGGGTGGGCAGTAAGTTTGCCTTTGCTGAGATGCCTCCCAGCAGCTCGGGGTGTCACCAACATGGCCTTGTGGTATCAGCCAGTGACAGGGCACTTCCCCAGGGGAGGATCACCTCCCTGACTCTGCCCTGGCCATCCACATTGCCAAGACTGCAGGTTGCTGGGCTTGTGGTGCCTGCTGTGTAAATAAGCAGCCCCAGATAGGAACTTTTCAAAGTTCTCAGGACACCCCAAATCTCCAAAAGATGCAAAGAAATTTTTGTCTCAATGATAAGGCATTTCAAGTACATGTAACTAAATTTTAAAATGCATGCTCTTTGAGAAATTTTACTTTTAGTAATGTGTTCAACAGATACAGTCAAATGTGTGTAAAAAGAAATATGTACCAGGAGGCCCTCTGTAGAAATGGCACATATGCTATTTTAGACTGGAAATAATAAGGAAATGTAGGGACTACAGGTCTGGGACAGAAGACTTCTTTTCCTTTTGAAAAATGTCATGCTTTTGCTAATTATTTTTGACCTAAAAAGAAAAAAAAATACCATGTTTGTATCAGTCTTTCAGTCAAAAAAATCTTTTAAAATATTAATATTTTCAGCAGGCGTGGTGGCTCATGCCTGTAATCCCAGCACTTTGGGAGGCTGAGGCAGGTGGATTGCCTGAGGTCAGGAGTTGGAGACCAGCCTGGCCAACATAGTGAAATCCCATCTTTACTAAAAATACAAAAAATTAGCTGGGTGTGGTGGCAGGCACCTGTAATCCCAGCTATTAGGGAGGCTGAAGCAGGAAAATCGCTAGAACCGGGGAGGTAGAGGTTGCAGTGAGCCAACCTCACACACACACATGTATGTATGTATATATATGTGTGTGTATATATATATGAGTGTGTGTGTGTGTATATGTGTGTGTGCATGTGTGTATATGTGTGTGTATATATGTGTGTGTGCATGTGTGTATATGTGTGTGTATATGTGCATGTGTATATGTGTGTGTGTGTATATGTGTGTATATGTGTGTGTATGTGTGTGCATGTGTGTATATATGTGTGTGTGTGCATGTGTGTATATGTGTGTATATGTGTGTGTGTGTATATATGTGTGTGTGTATATATATGTGTGTGTGTATATATATTTTTTTCCAGACTGTTGCTCATCAGGCCAACTGCATACCTGTAGGGAATAGAAAGGGCCTTCCTCTAGAGATGGGTAACATGTTTAATTAATCTATTACCTTCTATATTCCTTTGTGTCTATCCCTGGGGAACTCTCTGGAAATGATCAGGCTTGCTAGTGCCTGTTTCCCTGAGTCAGAACTTTGTTGGAGAAGAAATAAAGCCCAGAACTCTAGCAGCTAAGAATTTTATCTCCTGTCTACCCCAAGCTGGCCTGGGGAGCTGCCCTCACCTGGGATTCTGTGCATTGCAGTGGTAGATATACTCTGATATGGTGTCATCTTCAAAGAAGTCTGCAAACTTGCGTTTGAAGTCCGGCCGGAATCGCTGCACCAGGCCAGGCCCTGGGAGGGGATAGCAAAACAGAGTGACCAGTTTGGGAGGTGGGGCAGGGAAGACTCCTGCCTGTGTATGTTTTAACAACTTTAACCAAACCTTATTTTTCCTAAGGGTTTGCTTTATTCAGTTAACATTACAGTGGCAGAAAGAGTGCAGAAATCTACTGGGAAGTTCCAGGTGACTTCAAATGACAAAGTTGGCTTGTCACCAAAGAATTTAGAGACAGTCTAACATCACTGAGGAGCCAGGTTATTTTCAGCTCAATGAAGCCCCAAGATCATTCCCTGCAAGAATCACAAGCCCTCCCCATCAGTATCCATGTCTGAGATGCTCTTCTCCTACAGCCTGAGCTATGTTCTCTTTCTCCCCGATACCCCTCTGGCCTTTTAATCTTCTGATGGTAGTGGATGAAACTAGACCACCTCCCAAGAGCTCTCTCATTTGTAGGCCTGTAATAGAATACGTGGAGAGGTGAACTAAACACATTGGTGTCTCAGACTCAGGGCACTGTTTTACAACAATCTGTTCCTTTCACCTCATTATGGTTTATATACATGCAACAACAGACTGTAAAAACAGGGCCCCACTGCTCAACTTCTGATCTCTGATCTCTCTCTTTCTCTCTGGTCTTCTCTCTGTTTATGAGGAGCAAGAGGGAGGTAAGAAGGGGCTGGGTGGGGGGGGGTGCCATGAGGATCTGCATGGGCCCTCCCTCCTGTACAGTCCTTCATGGCTGCTGGCCAACTGACCCAAACTTGATAGCTCTGATGCTCCTGCATGAGCCTGGCCAGAGGCAAGAAGAGGGGACAGTAGGTCGAGCAGGGCTTCTTTTTGGCAAAGGATTATCAAGAGTCTGTTGGAGACCACAGTGCTGGGAACCTCTGCTCACTTTACTCTCCTTTGCACCTGTGTCTTGATAGCCTTCCTCTCTCTCAGAACTGCTAAACATCTATCTTATATTCAAATGCTTTTTTTTCTTTATCTGGAGTCATTCTGTTTTTCTTGAAGGAACTAGAGAGATAACTCTTATTTAGCTATTGGATATTATGTAAACACAACCTTCAGTACAAGTAGGCATCAACAATCTATTCCATAAAGGAATCTGCTTTTCACTTCATCAGAGTAAAAAGCTCCCCAGCGGGGAAGCATGCTGGCAGTGTGAGGTCAGAAGGTCAGAGATACTGATTCTGTTCATTAGGACTGGCTCCCCATGGTCCTCCTCCTCCTTTCCTCCCTTTTGCCCAAAGAATTTGCTGACAGCTGCCAAGTGCTAGGTGAGCAGAGCAGGTGAAGATGTGGTGCTTGCCTGGACCAGTGCATGGGTCACAGGGGCTCGCCTGCCACTCTGGGTTATATTGCAGGCTTTGGTTCTGACCTCTCCCTGCTGCACGTGTTGGGTGAACCACAGGGATGGAATCTGGTGGTTACTGAGCCTGAATCACCAGCAGGTTTTCATAAAATCTCACACACATTGGGTGGGGTGGCTCATGCCTGTAATCCCAGAACTCGGGAGGCTGAGGCAGGTGGATCACTAGAGGCCAGGAGTCCAAGATCAGCCTGGCCAGCATGGTGAAACTCCATCTCTACTAAAAATACAAAAACTAGTCAGGTGTGGTGGGGCACACCTACAGTCCAGTTACTCAGGAGGTTCAGGCAGGAGAATGGCTTGAACCTGGGAGGCAGAGGTTGAAGTGAGCTGAGATCACACCACTGTACTCCAGCCTGGGAGACAGAGTGAGAATCTGTCTCAAAAAACAGAAAACAAAACAAAAACCTCACACACATAGCAGAGGATGAGTCACCTTGCAGCCCCTTCTCTCTGGCGGTCTAGCCAAGGCATGTGGAAGCTATTCTGCTCCACCTGTTCCTGGCATAGGAATAGCTTTTCCTATGCAGATGGAAAAAATAAGCCTTTTCAAACCTTGAACAAAGTAATCTGATCCAGATTAACAGCTTTAAATAATGCTAGGCTCATTCCCACTTTTTAGGAATAAGTGGGAAAGACACAGTGGGAAAGACACATTCTAGAATGTTAGAGCCTTCCTTTAAGGAGATACTACAGGCTACTCACCCCAGGGCCCAGCTACTCGAAGAACAGCCAATGGATTGGAACGTCCTAGGACAGATGCCACGGCTTTGACCCAGGTTGGGGGTGCAGGGACCTCACTGGGGTTAGTTGGTCGGAGGGGAAACCCCCATGGGTCCACCAGGATGAGGTGTTTAACTCTACGTTAAAGGCGGAAAAAGGAGAAGACACATTATATTCTCTGGTAGGTGCCATAGCCCCTCATATCGGGAATGAGAGAACTTTGGAAATGAATACTGGAAAGTTCCCAGTAAGGCCAGGAATTAGGTCACAAGGAATGGTGGCATCTCCTTATTACCTATCAGGGTACTTGATTGAGTAAGAAGTGGCCAGGAATCCTCCCAAACTGTGTCCCAGGAGGATCATGCTGGGGATCCCCATGGTCTCCCGCCATGTCTCTATCGAGGTCACAAACTCATCCTCAGCCCCCTCTGGGTCTCTTGGGAATGCTGGCCTTGAGCTTCGTCCAAAGCCAAGCAGATCGAAGGTGTGCAGCGTGCGGCGGGCACTCAGTGAGTCCATGTTGAGGATCCAGAGGCCCACGCCGCCCCCAAAGCCATGCACCATCACCAGAGGGGTGCGGTCCTTTTGCTCGGGGCTCACAGTCACCGTCCAGATCTTATTCTGGTTTGGGAGGGACACATATCTAGCCAGGAACTTATTCTGGAGACCTGGGAAGGAAAGAATCCCATGATAAATCACCAAGTCTGTTTCCTGACAGCAGCATCATTTTGCCTGGACTACCACTGTTCACATCTCTCCATTCCCCAGCCCTCCCCAACTTCCCTCAACTCTTTCCTCCCACAACCCTCTGACCACTGAAGAAGACTCTGTCCTTAACCAAATTTTTTAGGCAAGCCCTTCTGAGCCCTTTTCTTGACTAGGCTTTGACCTTGGCCCTTGCCCTGTCTTCTACATGTCTAGCTCAGTCTTAGCAAGTCTAGCTCAGACAGCACTTTGCCCTGTCTTCCACATGTCTAGCAAGAGCCTGCTAAGTCAGGATTAGTAAGTCATACTAAGTCATAAGAATTATTTTATATCTGATCAAGTTCCTCATCTCTCACCTTTGACCTTCCTTCAGCAATGATCCTGTTAAACTGGTTTGAAAAGAACTCCCTTTATCTTTGATATCTCTTCTTAGTAATTTTCTATACACCGATTCCCCACTCACCCTGCTGCTTTGTTATAAATCCACATCAGTTATTTACTGTATTCAAGAGTTGAGCCTAAGCTCGGCGCCGTGGCTCATGCCTATAATTCCAGCACTTTGGGAGACCGAGACGGGTGGATCACCTGAGGTCAGGAGTTTGACACCAGTCTGGCCAACATGGCAAAACCCCATCTCTAATAAAAATACAAAAAATTTGCTGGGCATGGTGGTGGGCACCTGTAATCCCAGCTACTTAGGAGGCTGAGGCAGGAGAATTGCTTGAACCTGGGAGGTAGAGGTTGCAGTGAACTGAGATTGCACCATTGTACTCCAGCCTGGGCAACAAGAGTGAAACTCAGTCTCAAAACAAAACAAAAAAAGTTGAACCTGATCTATCTCTCCTATTGCAATAGTCTTGAATGATCTTTACTAATTTAATTTGTCAGAATCACTTTTTCTTTAACACTACACATTCTAAAGAAGTAAACTCCAATGACAATTTATAGACAATTTATAGTCTGTAGGTATTAAGCAGGGCCATCTTATCCCTTGAAACACGTGCCAAGCTCCCTTTAGGCCCAGGGTGGCAGTGATACCACCAACCCCACAGAGCTGTTGCAGCCATTGCTCTTGAACCTGTGTGTGCTTGGGGCTTGATGGATGGATAGAATTGTGGTCCAACCAACCAGTTGGAGGGAGTGATGGATGTGGACTGAGCCTCGGGTGAGAGACCAAGGTGGAGCAGTGCTTGTTCTGCTGGTGTGACAGCAGTCACCTGGGCAGAGCTGCCTGAGTGAAGCAGCCTGGATCCTGGACAGAGGCTTGAAAGCTCTGGCTGCTGTTCGTCTACACACACTCAGGCCCATAAGCGAGAGGGTAGCTATGGCTGGGGCAGTAGGGGTGTGGTAGAGGAGATCACATGGGAAATATGGGAAGAAGGGGCTTAAGGGGCTTGTTTGAGTGAGTGGCTGCTGCTGCTAGTGGGATGCTCTGCTGCATTATAACAGTGCTGATGAAGGCTGGTCTGCAAATCACAAACTACTGTGGTAACCAGATAGGTGGGGGACCAAAACCAGGTAGAACACAGAGAACAGTAATATCAGAGAATGCAAGATTGCTGGTGCAAGGGTCTGCAGGTGGTAAATCTAAGAAGTACTTGTGTGGTGAGAAGAGAGAAGGAGAGAAGGAAGAAGAGAGAAATGGGGGAGAAGGAAGGAGGAAGGGGAGAATGTGTCTGTGTGTGTTCACTGGCCCTGGCACAGCGTTTGAGGTGAAGTTGCAGGAAGTGGCAGGAACTAGCACATGGCTAGAGAGATGGTGAGGAACCACTATCATAGGATATGGTGTCCTCTGTACACACCTCTTCCCTCAAATAACTGACATCCTTTCCTCCCACACCACACACTGTTCATTAGCAATCAGTGGACTCAAGGTTGCAGGCTCTGGGAAGATCCTGAATCTTTCTTGGGCCCCATGAGGGAGGTGGGACAAGCTGTCCATTCTACTTACACTGGAGGATCCTGGCTTCCACATTCTTCAGCTGAGACATGGAAGTGGGGCGCCACGTTGGCAGCCAGCTACTCAGCCAGCCTTGAGGTCTGGGAGGAGGAGACAGAGACATTCATTGGCAACATTGGAAAGACACATTGATGCTCTCAGCCTTGCTGACAGTTACAAAGGAGTTCTCAGGAGGCAGGGTGTTTCCTGGCCTCGGGAGACCTGCCCACCATGGCAGTCAGCAGTTCCCTAGCTGCCTGATGGACTGTTTCTTTTTGGTAAATGGCTATTAACAACTTGTCCTTATTTCAATAGATATTCAGAACATCCTGTATATAATACTTCACAGTTTACAAACCTCTGTCACATTTATTATCTCACTTCAGCCTTATAACTTCTCTTTGTTAATGGTTATCATAATTTATGTTCAAGAAGATTAAAGGGAGAGATGCCTTTTAACTAATGTTTCAGCTATCCTTTGCTGTCCCCAGAACTAGATGTTCCTTAACAGTAGGACAAATTCTATGCCATCTGCCCTCCTGGCAGGGCACTGGTTGGTGTTTATGTGCACCCTCTTCCAAGCCCCTAGAAGTGCAGAACATTGTGTTGTGCCCAACTGATCGCTCAGGTAATCATGGAGGCAGGCAGCAGGAGGTGGGAGACCTGGGTTCAAGTTCTGTTATGGTTCACTGACAGGACACAGGTTGCCTCTGGTCTTGTTTTCTAGATTGTAAAATGAGTAGAAAGTTCACCTATGTCCTCACCTCCCATGGCATGCAGTAAAACAGATGACTCATCTTGCTTTCTCTTTCACACCCAGTGACCTTAAGTCATTGCAAGATAGACGTTAAAAGCACCAGATTTGGAATTACACACACATACCCTCCTGGACCTGAATCATGGTGTTATCAGTGATGAGCAGAATGGCTTTGGTCCATTAAATAACCTGTCTTGGAGCATCTATATATGTAAGGAAACCTGTAAGTTGCCCAGTACAAATGAGATGCTCAGTAAATGACAGCTTGTATCATTCCCTTTTAACCCCACTTGATATTTCTCTTTTCTTGAACTCTACCTGAGTTACAGACAGGATAGATATCTACAGCTACAGAAAGGGCCTGTGAATACTGGCATAGTCAAGGTAGGGAACTCTAAGGGGGAATGAGGGGAACCATTACCAATCCCCTTGGCACACACTGGGCATCCTGATACACCATTTGAAGCAAGAATTTTAGATTAGAATGTTTCCTTAGGAATCATCTAGTCTAGCCTCTGTATTTTACAGATGAGCAAACTGATGCCCAAAGAGGTCACGCAAGTTAGAAAAAAGAAACAGAACTAGAACCCCTTATCTCAAATCCAGGGTTCTCTCCCCGAACCTTCCAGCCTCAGCTTTTCAAGGTCAAACACACATATTCACAGAACATAATCACTTTTTCACACTTATCTCTGTTTTCTCAAGGGAGGTGTGATCTAAAGCCAGGTCAGAGTTCCAATTTTAGCACTGTCACTTACTAGCAATGTGACTACGGGCACATTATTTAGCTTTTCTGTGTCAGAGCTTCCTCATCTTTAAAAGGGCGGTAATAATATCTACCTCGTAGGGTTGCTATAAAGGTTAAATGGGTTAATGCATCTAAAGCACATAGAATGATGCCTAACACAAGATAAACTCCCAATAAACTTTCTTTCCCCCCAGCTAAATAAGTTGTCTACATTCCCAGTGTTTTGCAAGTAGCAACTCTCAGTGGATGTTTGAAGTTTGAAAGAAAAACAGGTTGCAGCTGGGAGTGGTACATCAATGGTTTTAGCCAGATGAGAGTTGTCAATCTCAATCGATCTAATCGTAGGGAGCCTCAGAATCCTCTTACTATTCTACTGGAATTCCTTGTAGCCTTGAAGCACGGGGACCAAGACCACAGGATTTTGCCAGCCTTAAAAGACAATTTTTTTTTCTCCAAATCAGGTTGTGACAAGTCAGGTCATAACACTCTCCTGTCACTGCCCAAGGCGGAGCTCAGAACAAACGCTGCCCACAGCACAGCATCATGGACTGCTCAGCAGATATTCCTTGGTGGGAGAATTACTTTGCCTTCCTTCACCAAAAACGTTACAAGTAAAGCACTGGAAATAGTGCCTGGCACACTGTATGTGCTCAAAACTATGGAGGAGATATGGGCTGGGGTGGGAAATTGAGGCAAGGAGCAGAAAAGACATTCAGCTATGAACTTAACCTGGCTAGGATGGTCTCTGTTGACCTGATGGTGGTGAAGCAGAAGGGGTTCTGTGCTGGGAGAGAATCCTGTTCTAGACCTCTGTGATCTTGGGCAAATCTAATTTCTAGGGACACAGCGTCTTCATTTGTAAAAAGAAGCTGAACTACCTGCATCTCCTTCGACTGGAACATTCTACTTCCCTAAGTCCTTTAAAGCATTGCAAATTTCCTCTTGGAAAAGTCATCTTTGAAAGTAAAATATTCCTCTGGACATTTCTTTCGAGCTACTTATTATGATTATAAAGTTAATTAGTTTCGTGGGCTTCCAGTTCTGCAGGTCTGAAAAACAGGAGTACTGGATCCAGGAAAGGCCCAGTTCTGGTGAAACCAAGGCTCGACTGGGAGCTGAGTCATTCTTCTCCTAGCAACTTTTTCTTGCTCCTATCAGATTGCGAACTGCTAGTCACACCACCTACAGGTGGTATCCCAAACCTGATGCCCTTGAGAGAGTGGTAACAAATCCCAATAGCTCTAAATCTGAAAGCACTGCATTAAAGATGTTGTTATGATGATTAAAAGCATTATCAACTAGATCACATGCGGCTACGTGTCTCGGTGGGCAACAGCTAAAGAAAGCCCGTGGTTCCACGCCAATTTCAGCGTGGTGGAGACCTCTCCAGTCTCTCCACACCTTCTCCTTGCCGGGCGGAGGGAGGAGGCTCTCTCCATCCCCACGACAGCCGTTCTGGGGCAAGTCGAGATGAGCACGCCCGGCTGCCACCCCCGCACCCGCGTCCCACAAGCTTGCTTTCGGGGATCTCAGACACCAACGCGGAATTTCTCGAGAGGCCAGAGGAGAATGAGGGGCACTCGCGAGGACTAAGGTGGAAACTCAGGATCCCCGGGCTACGGGCAAGCGCGTCTCCCATGGCTCCCCCGGCTCAGCCGCCGGCTCTTCTGGGCAAATGCAAAGCAAGCAGCGCACCCACCCCCCGCCCTCTCCGGAGGCCGACCTGGAAAAGGAAGGGCGGGAAGGTGTCTACCACTGTTCCTCAGCCACAGACAGTCCCAGGATCATGGCCCAGAGAGAGAGAGAAAGAGAGAAAGGGACAGGATTAACTCACTGCTGCTCCAGATCATCAGCCATAGTAAATAAGCCCTGCCAGGTCCAGGCGAGCCCGCCCAGCGCCTGACGCCAGCACCAGCTGACCCGGGAGGCCGCGAGGAACAAGGGGGCGTGGCCGCGCAGGGGGCAGGGCTCGCGGCCTGCGGATGGGACTCTCAAACTCCACAACTTGGTTTGAACTAGTGGGGCCTTGCTATGTTTTCAATCACTGGTATGTGTCCAGGCAGAGATGTCTGACGGTCTCAGAATAGCACAGTAATCCTGTTCATACATTTGCGGGAGTTCCTGCAAGAGCTCTATCAGCCCTCCATTCTCTAATAACTAAAAAGTGACAGAACTACTCCTGCACGCTGGCACCCATTCTTTGGGCTTCCTATTATAACTGTGTCTTCCTGAAATTGACCCTTGTTAGTGTTCCTTCTAATAAGAGGCTTAAATGTTTGTGGAGACAACACCATTGGCTGAATGCTCCTACAAAAGGGCCTGGATGCCAGATTTCAAAACTTAAAAAATCAGGACATCTAGTTAAATGTAAATTCCAGATTTAAATAAAGCAAATAATTTTTTAGAATAAGTATGGGCCACGCAGTATTTAGGACATAACTAGGCACGCTGTATTTTCTCTGGCAACCTTAAACCTATATGACGTCTGCCAAGATGGGCATTTCTCTGCTCTGGGGGTGACTCTGGCCCCAACCTATTTTCCAGGGAAAATATAGCTCAACTCTAGGTCACCTTCAGTTTGGAAGATAACAGTTGAAGGACTCACCTATAAGGCTAGGTCTGCTTTAGGTACGTAAGTGTGGGGACAGGGAGATAAGGCTGGCTTGGTCCAGAGGTCCTGAGCGAACTTCAGGTTTGCTCAACAGAGGAGCCAGATTTTGAGGCTGGCTGCAGAATTTGCTTGTGCTGGTAAACAGGGCCTGATCTCCCTTGAGCTGTCAGATTTCAGATCATCCCCTAATTAAAACCAGACTGGGGGCTAGGAGGGGGGCTCATGCCTGTAATCCCTGCACCTTGGGAGGCAGAGGTGGGCAGATCACTTGAGGTCAGGAGTTCCAGACCAGCCTGGCCAACATGGTGAAAACCCATCTCTATTAAAAATACAAAAAATTAGCTGGATGTGGTGGCAGGCACCTATAATCCCAGCTACTTGGGAGGCCGAGGCAGGAGAATCGCTTGAACCCAGGAGGAGGAGGTTGCAGTGAGCCAAGATTGCACCACTGCACTCCAGCCTGGGCAACAGTGAGACTCTGTCTCAAAAAACAAAAACAAAAACAAAACCAGACTGGGGAGTGGTGAAGGATGAGTGAGAGAATGCTGGTGCAGAGGGGTTTATCAAGGAATTTTTCTTTAGCCTTCCTGCAGGACCCGAAGATTCTGAGATTTCTTCTTTGTTGCAACACAGTGTTAAGCTGATCATTATAAAGACTTAACTTTTAAGAGAACCAGCATTTATAGAGTTTAGGGGCTTAGGAATTTGCCAGATGGGGTACGAAGAAATACAACTAGCAGAGGACTGGTCTCTTTCATGAAACATTTTTTTTTTTTGAGACTGGTTCTCACTGTCACCCAAGCTGGACTGCAGAGGCATGATCATGGCTCACTGCAGCCTTGAACTCCTGGGCTCAAGGGGTCCTCTTGCCTCATCCTTTCAAGTAGCTGGGACTACAGTTGACCAGATAATTTTTTTTTTTTTTTTAGTTTTTGTAAAGATGGGGTCTTATTATTTTGCCCAGACTGGTCTCAAACTACTTGGCTCAAGCTATCCTTCAGCCTTGAGCTCCCAAAGTTGCCTTCGGAGTGAGCCAACAAAGTTGCCTTCATTCCGTCTTTCAACAAAACACAGTGATTTTAAACTTCAGTATGCGTAAGAATCACCTGATGGATTTATTAACAATTCAGATTTCTAATCCCTATCGTCTGAGATTCGGATTCAGCTGGTTTGGCTTGATGCTTAGAAAGCTGCATTTGTAGGAAGCACTGCAGATACTGGTGCTCCATGAGACTCACTGGTTAGAAGTGTAGATTCTGGAATTAGAAGCCTGGGTTAAGGTATTTGCTTTGCCACTTATCCATTTTATGCCGTTGGCCAAGTTATTTAGCATCTGTTAATTTCTTCCTCTGGCTTGTGTATGGTGAGAATTAACCAAGATAATTCAAATAATAATGTGGTACACTTACTTGTGCTATGAATATTACTTATTGTTGTTGTTGCTATTATTCAAAGCCAAGAATTATGTTGAGCACTAAAAATACAATTATCCAGCCTGGGCATTACAGCAAGACTCTGTCTCTACAAAAATGAAAAAAAATTAGCTGGGTGCTGCAATGCATACCCATAGTCACAGCTACTTGGAAGGGTGAGGCAGGAGGATCACTTGAGTCTAGGCGTTAGAGGTTACAGTGAGCTATGATCCCACCACTGCACTCCAGCCTGGGTGATGGAGTCAGACTTTGTCTCTAAAAAAAGAAACAATGAAATAATTATCAAAAGGAAAGAAATAACCTGCTCTAATGGTACACGCAGACTTTTCATTTGTTGCTACCCTCGGTCCTTCTTGGCTTTGCAGAGCTGATAACTTTGTATTCAGAACTCAGCTGAAACCCCCTCTTCTGAGGCATTTCTTGACTGCAGGATCTAAAGAGAGCCCCCCATCACTCTCTCACATTACCCTATTTTTGTTTTCTTCATAACACTTATCATTATCTGAAATTATCTGGCATTGTTTTTACTCATTAATTATCAGTTTCCTTCCGGTTAGAGACTAAGTTTCCTGGGGAACCCTCTCTGTCTTGTTATCTGCTGTGCTCCCAACACCTAGAACAAAGTGTGGCAGAGTAGGCACTCAGTATTTGTTGGGCAAATGAAGAAAAGTCTAGAGAAAAGGCAGAAGCATAAACCATTACCTATGAAACAATATGCTAAATGCCAAATGCTTTGGGAGCTGCATTCTAAATTGTACCAAATAGGAAATTCCATACTACATCACTCCCAGACAGGACAATAAAATTTCCCACTTTTCTGAAAAACTGTAAGTTGTGGAATTTTTTGAGGCAAGAACAACTGCATTGGGACTGGTATTAGATCTCTCTAGATCATTCCCCAGGAGGCAGTGCGGAGAAGGGTTGTAGTTTGTTTTCATGTGCTAAACCAGCTTTAAAGTAGATGTTTCTTGGAAGTAGGAAACGAGTGGATGGAGAATGCCTTTTGTAACCAAAGTTACTAGTTTTTAAGGTATTCCCAGTCCTGATATATCTCAGGATCGGGCTGGATCTGCTAGAATTACAAATAAAGAGGTCTCTCATCGCCTACTCTAGACAGACCTCTGGGGAGAAGATGGAAGTTATTTTTTTCTCCTTATCATTAGGACAAAGCACACCATGAGCAAGTGTGAGACTCCCACGAGTGTGGATGGAAATTAATTTGACAGATCTGAAACCACCTTTGCAAAATTATGACTGAGACAGTGAAAGAGAACTAACTTACTGACTCCATCTTGCTTCTAACTTCCAGGCTGTCCTAGTTCATTGCTGGGCATAGGCTGAACTAACTTTGGGAGAAACTTAGTTTGTAATTTGTGGTTTGTGACAGAGACAATAACAGCCCTTTCCCAAAGCAGACCCCTTTATTGCCTGGGGACTAGATTGCCTTTGTAGGAATAATATTAGCCCCAAGATTGGAAATTATGGTTTGGGAGTCATGCAGCCAGAGGCTATAAGATTCTGACCCTCCCTAGACTGCTCCTAAGATCAGTGCTTGAGATATTTTTCGGACCCTGCACTTGATGGATCAGCTGGCACCACTCAGATGGGTGAACTGGCTCATCTGATCTTGTGGCCCCCTCCCACCCAGGAACTTACTCAGTGCAAGAAGGCAGGTTCGACTCCCTATTTTTTTTTTTTTTTTTTTTGAGATGGAGTTTCGCTCTTGTTACCCAGGCTGGAGTGCAATGACCCGATCTCGGCTCACCGCAACCTCCGCCTCCCGGGTTCAGGCAATTCTCCTGCCTCAGCCTCCCGAGTAGCTGGGATTACAGGCACGTGCCACCATGCCCAGCTAATTTTTTGTATTTTTAATAGAGACGGGGTTTCACCATGTTGACCACGATGGTCTCGATCTCTTGACCTCGTGATCCACCCGCCTTGGCCTCCCAAAGTGCTGGGATTACAGGCTTGAGCCACCGCGCCCGGCCCCTCGACTCCCTATTATTTCATCCCTGACCAATCAGGACTCCTGGCTCACTGGATTCCCCCAACTGACCAACTTGTCCTTAAAAACTCTGATCCACGAAAGCTTGGGGAGACTGATTTGAGTAATAATAAAACTCCGGTCTCCTGCACAGCCAGCTCTGCACGAATTATTCTTTCTCTATTGTAATTGCCCGGTCTTGATGAACTGGCTCTGTCTAGGCAGTGGGCAAGGTGAACCCCTTGGGAGGTTACAAACACCCTTTCTTTGACTGTAAGTCATCATCAAGTATTCCAAAAGTAGGGGGAGCTGATAAACTGATAGCTTAGGCCTGGCAGGTATAGATTATTCTTTTGTTTCAAATGGGTATCACTTCCATTTGAATTAACTATGAACAAGATAGGACTCTTTGATTAAACATAGAAATGAGTAGAATAGCTCATAAGTTTCTCTGTCCAGTGACAGACACTAGACACAAGCGGCTACTTAGATTTAAATAAAGCCAAATAAAATTTCCTTAGTCACATTGTAATGAATCATCCCCATTTTTCTAAGAGATAGTTTAATGATTTTTAAAAAATCTTTTTTTCTTTCCTCCTTCTCCTTACTTCCTCCTTAGCTCTTTAGAAATGCAATTATAGCCTTTTTACCTCCTCTTTACCAGACACTCCCTATGGGGCAAGTTCATCTAACTATGTGCTTAGAAGCTCCAGAGAGGAACTCTCACCCACCAGGAGGCTGCCGTGAGAACAGTCCATCTACAACCCCAAGTATGCCTGCTGCAAAGCTCTCACTTATTCGGAGAGTTTTGGCTACTTTTAGAACCTAGTCCTGCC